AAAACTCTTCATACGGAAAAGATAAAGATAAAAGTTTCATTCTCTCAAGGGTGGAAGGGAAATATTTGGCCAAGGGCTAAGGGTTATAATAATGGGGTAAATCAAAGAAAAACAATCACAAAGAGGGGATAAGTGCTTAGCACTTATTTAAACAAACAAAAGGCACAATGGGGATACGAAGGATAAAAATATATATAGGGACAGGTTTAAAGGCTATGGCTAAACAAAAATGGCCTAAATCACTTCAAAACATGCAAAACTTAGACATCACTTAGGGAGTAATGAGGCAAGTTCTAGCAAAACACCCATGACCGGAATCTCACATAAGCCTTCACTAGCAATGCAAAACACAAGATCAAGAACTAATCCAATTATTAAGTGGTTAACAAAGCTATTGGCAAGAGAATAGATCAAATATGTGCTACACCTCAAATCATCCATCACAAATTGAGATGCAGCAAGCACCACTAAAACAAACCACAAACCAACAAGAGAGAATAATTGTAACTGCATGCTAAGACAAGTAGCTTATTCACCAAAAATAGCATATGAGTCATCCAAGCAAAAGCAAAAATTTTAAAAATTTAGAAATATCCCCAAATTAATGATTCCTCCCACTCACACTTAAAACTTTGCATCACCCCTGATGCAAAATAAAAGAAAAGGAGAACAAGAGAAAAGAGAAAACTAAGAAGCAATAAAATAATCACGAACTAGAAAATAATAAAACTAAATAAGTCGAAACTAGAAAGCAATAAATAAATAGGGAAAGTAATAAAAGATAACATGGGGTGCCTCCCATGAAGCGCTAAATTTAACGTCGTTAGCTCGACGTTACCTCTCTAGCCATCAAGTGATTGGAGAAGAAAAATCCCCTTCTTTCCATCAACTTTCTCTTCCAAGTATTTCTTCAAGTGGTGTCCATTTATAAACTCTCTTAAGCTCGAACCCTTCACGTCATCATGTAAGGAACCACATTTGCCCGAATCAAGAATTATGCCCCCATTCTCTTTTCCTTCTTTTTCAACACTCTTTTGTTCAACAAGTAATGAGAGTCTCGGATCATTCACATGAACCAGCAAGTATTGGGATTCATTGGATATATAGATAGGCAAATGTGTGCCATTATCCTTAAGAACTCCAATGCCTCCCAAATTCAAAATTTCTCTGAAGTTCTCTCCAAGGGAAGTGTTCTCCATTGGTGAGACATCCTCATTCAAATCATGTGCTCTATTGAGAACTTCCTCATCTAATGGGCAACTCTCTATATGTTCCTTGCCATCATTACCTTGCAACTCTACATTTTCCTCCCAGCTTGGTGTCTCCATCTCAATGCATTTATCAAATAATTCTTCATCTTCCTCTCTAAGATCCTCATCATCCTTTTTATTCCTCTCAACTTCATGACCTTCATTTGGCAAGAGCAACTCTTCTAGAACCTCTCCATTAAATGAATCTTGAAGTGGCTCTTGAATTGTCAAATCTTGCTGTCGAGCTATCATGTGATCGAGTCGAGCATTCATGCGATCAAGTTGAGCCTTCATGTGGTGATCTTGTAACTCCAGATATTTCGAGCACAATTGCATTACCTTGGTCTCTTTGGACTTCATCTCAATTATTTGGTCAAGTGATTGACAATCTTGTTGAAACTCTTGGTACGACAACTCTTGAGCTCGCCCTTGATACTTGTAATTGGGATCCATGATAAAGCAATTTTCCGCCTCATGAGATCCACCACATATCATGCACCGTGAGGGTTGTGGAGTAGGTGGTGTGTATCTTTGATAAGTAGCTTGACTCATGTTGGCACAAAATCCTTGAGTAGATTGTTGATGGATATGGTTGGTGGGGTTGAGCAGGTAACAATTTTCCACAAAGTGATTCCCACCACAAAATGAGCACCATTGGGGTTGTGATGTTTGATATGAACTTTCTTGATAATATCCTTGACTAGAGTTGGCAAAATTTGAGAAAGGGAATTGTTGTTCCATTCCTCCATATTCTCGATTCATATTCCAACTCATCTCATAACCTTGAGAAGGAGGGTAAAACGGTGGCATGGTTCCTTGGAATGCATATCTATCCATAAACTAAATCACACTCAAAACAATGAACTTGTTATGGGTTAGCAAAATAGAATAAAATAAAAAAAAAATAAAAATGGACTAGTCTCCTGGAATTAAGATTTCACTAATGTTAATACTAGAGGTACCACCTCCCCGACAACGGCGCCAATTTGATGCGTAGTATATTTGCAAACAAATAATTCTCGCAGTACGAGTTATCGATCCACAGGGAAGTGGTTGTATCAAGCACTAGTTACTAACTTATTCATTAGAGCTAATCCTAACAATTATTTAGATGATTGATTGGCATAAAATAAATAAAATAAAACAGAGGTTCAGGATTTTGAAAACAATTAGAGAGAAGTTGAGATTCATGGGATTCAAGTATTTAATCACCTAGTGCCAATTATCGTTTGCAATATTTAGTTTGGAATTAAGATTTGTGTGGGAATGCAAAGTGGAATCGAATTACTTCCGTAATCTCTATTCCTAGTGAATTTCCACTCCCATGGCTTAAACACCCAATAAGATCAAAGATCAGCATTCAATTATTCCTAATTACTACCATCTCCCGATTGGCAACAATCTAGAATAAACTTCCCCTAATAAGTTCCCCTTTCCCAAGGACCAACCATTAGGTGCAATCGTGTGTGACCTAATTTATGCCCCAACTCCCATTGGTGACACAAACATGGCTATGAAGCTAGTAACTATGGCCATTAATTACAAACATCAAACAATATTATCACGATTGCAACACAAGTATTAAACCCAAATAATAATTTATTAAAGAAACTGAGAGCTCAGGCACATAGGTTCATAAACACTTTTACCCAAGAATCTGTAAAGAATTTAGCCAAGCATGACTAAATTATACATAGCAAATATAAATAAAGAATTACAAATCATCAAAAGAGTACAAGAATTAACCAGACGATTTTCCCAAATCTCCCTAGTCTTCTTCTTGCTTTCCAAGACAACTTGTGGCTCTTGATTTATCTCATTCTTGTCTCCAAGAATCTCTGAATTCTCTCTGTCTCCGTCTCCGTCATTAGGGTTAAGGAATGAGGGATTTTATAGTGGGTACAAAGTTGAGATGAAATAGGAATCTTGTACCAAATTGGACTCAAATTCTAATTCCTATATTTAAATAAAGAAATTGTCGTCTTTAATGATATTTAGAATTTGGAAGATTCCTTGAATTGCTAACTTTTAATATGGAGATATGAGCCTTGAAATCCGCGCAATTGATATTAGGAAAAGAGATCTCGCGCTTGTATTGAATTTTGCCCAGCTGCGCCACTTTAAGCGTCTGTTTTTTTTTTATCCGCGCCACTTTAGGCGTCTATTTTTATCCCAGAAACAGACGCATATTCGACGCGTCGAGAATTTTCTCGACGCGTCGAGACTTCCTGTGCGCGAATTAATTAGCTACTGGAAAATTTCGACGTGTCGAGCCCTTGGCTCGACGCGTCGAGTCCACTGGGCCCCGAACTCATCCAAAATTGCTCCAAACTCATCCTTGAACTCCCCTTGGTCATATCTTTGACCTAAAATGGTTCAAAAACACTAACAAACACCGTAAAATATTCAAAACAAGTGTGAACCATAAGTAAATGATAATAGCAAGGAAAACATGTATTAAATAAGGAAAATTAAAGAGCTTAATTACTGTGATGATTCAAAATAACCATAAAAACAAGCACAGATGTGATAACATCAATTCCTCCTCCATTTATATAGTACAAATTAATACTGCACCGAGATAGATCCAAAACTTATGCATAAATGAAAGTGTCTTAGAGATTGAACTTTCACATAGTATTATATGCGTTACATAAATTTGGATTGCATTAATGGACGAACCTTGAATCACGCAGTCTCTTTGAATAAACGTAGATATAATACACACAAGTTTTAGAGTAACTACAACTCAAAATAACTTGACACTATTAAAGGGCATGTGTCCGTATCCATTAATGAGCACGTACCAAGTAAAACCAAAACTTGTTTGAAGCGGCCACACTTTATGCTCACAGAGGCTAATCTTTTATATCATGCATTGCACCTTGCATTTTTTTAAAAGATTAGTTAAGAGTAAAATCTCATCTCTACAACAATGCAGAACCAAGCACCACTTTTTCTTGGGATACAATTTTTAATTTAAACTTTTGATGCTTGCAATCACAAAATGAAGTACTCATCTACATTGAACTCAAGGTCTAACGTAATAACTTAGACGTGAGTTGAGCTTTCCTTCACTTGCAATTAAATAATTAGGCTTTCCATATCCCTTCTGATGTCTTTAAAACCATGTCCCTTGTAAAGACTCTTGCAAACGGATCCGTTAAAATAAACCGGGACCGTACAAAGTCCAGTGTTACAACACCATAACTTAGGAGCTCCCGCACATAGCTATATCTCATGCCTATGTGTCTTAACTTGCCATTATAAATTATTGTTATATGTTTTAGCCAGTGTAGTAGTGCTGTCACTGTTGGGTACATTTAATGAGGCACCCCTATTTTTGTGGTACTTTGACCTCATTGTCCGAAATGTAATTTCAGCTACATGGAATGTGTGGACAGCCTTTGTTATCTCCTTCTTTGTCGCGCCTTTTGCATGGACAACAAGGGGTGGACGTGGGAGGCTTTAGCTACATAAAGCCTCGCCACTTCCACTCCAGAAAGACACTTTTTTTTGCCTGAGTTCATATTGAACAAATTTTGTTCTACGAGTCTGTGAGTCTTGTCGAAAACATGCGATACCCTGGTCGCAAATGTTTTTAAGGGAGTGTTTTATAAACACGACACAGATAAAATTCTACTTCTATTATACAGTTTCCCACGCCTAAATTCTCCAGCCATCCGTTCGACATTGCTGATATACGAACCAGAGATTTCCAACGATTAAAAACATTTGCGTTATATCAACATGTCGCAGTCGTTCAATCCTCCCTTTGATATAACTCCTATTGAACCTCTTACGGGTGGTTTGAAATACAAGCGATGGGTTAGCAAAGTCATGATGTTATTAGAATCCAACGATGTGGATTATGTCATATTTGAGGATCCTGAGAAATTTGTTGAGTCTGCTGTGCAGTCACCTGCACAAACTGCTATAAAAGACACACAGGCTACCTCCGATGGTTCAACAGCTTCAAAGTCGACAACTACTCCAACGGCTCCAACGTCGAATTCAACGCAGGCTGCTTTGACTTCCCAGACATCTCGTACCAAGTACGAGAAGGACAACAAGACAGCTCGTGCAAAACTACAACGGGTTAGTAATCCTCTATTCGATATGTTTTCGCCACACAGGTCAGCGAAACTAATTTGGGAATTTATGAAAGAAAAATATGGGGTTGACGACTGTGGAAGGCGAAAATATGCCGTTAATCGCTGGCTACATTTCACGATGACGGAGGCCAAACAGATCACCGAACAAGTACATGATTTTGAAAATCTTGTCGCTGATATGAAAGCTGAAGGGGCTGTGGTCAACGATGCGTTTCTGGGTGACGCATTAGTTGATAAATTACCCGACTCGTGGCTGGACTTCAAGAATAAATCAAAGCATGAGCTAAAGCATTACACCTTGAAGCAGCTTATCAATACCATCAATATTAAAGAAGAAAACCGTATGGTCAACAAGTCTGGTAATTTTCCTGATAGCCTTAAAGCTAATGTAGTTGAAACGACTGTTGGTCTTGATAGGCCAAAGTCTGGTGAATATGCTAAAAACCAAAAGAAGGGTTCAAAATCAAAAAATTCTAACCGGATCAAAACCGGGAAAATCTAGAAAAAGGGGAGAAACAATATTAAATGTTACGTTTGTGGAAAATGAGGCCACAAAGCTGCTCAATGTTACCACAAGAAGGGGTCCACGAGCTAAACCAGTCAGAAATCAAATAACGAGGGGCCAAAGAATCAAGCACACTTGCTGGAAAACACAAAAAACTCGGACATAGTAGCAGCTGTAATAACCAAGGCCAATATGGTAGGAGATTCAGACGAGTGGGTTGTGGACACTGGAGCATCTCGCCACTTTTGCAACAACAAAGAACTGTTCAAAGTGCTTGAAGCCAACACTGGAGACGATCAAGTCTTTATGGGAAACTCCAACATTTCTAAGGTAAGTGGTAGAGGAAAAATAGAATTATTGCTTTATTCTGGGAAGCTTCTTTTATTGCAAAATGTGCTTTATGTCCCTTCCCTCCGTAGAAACCTGATTTCTGGAGGCCTACTTAATAAGGCTGGAATCAAAATGGTTTTTGAGTCTGACCGACTGGTTCTGACTCGCTGTGGGAAATATCTGGGAAAGGGATATTTTCATGGAGGCCTTTTTGTGTTAGATGCTTCTGTAGCTAGAAATAATACTGTTGTAAATGGTACCATTTCAACTGCTTGTGATTTCGCTACAAACAATGTTAATAATAAAGTTTCCTCTTTTGCTTATATGATTGTTTCAATTAATCTTTGGCATGATAGATTAGGACATGTTGGTACTAAGTGCTTAAATAGATTAAAAAGCATGAATATTTTACCAAAGTTATCTAGTGATGCATGCACACAATGTGAAACTTGCGTTGAAGCTAAGTTTGCTAGAAATTCGTTTTCAACAGTGAATAAACGAACATCATCTGTTTTAGAACTAATTCACACGGACTTAGCTGACTTCAAAACAACTGAAAGTAGAGGTGGAAAATGTTACTATATTACATTTATTGATGATTTTTCACGTTTCACAAAACTTTACCTTTTAAGATCAAAAGATGAAGCTGAACAGAAGTTTGTGGTTTTTAAAAATGAAGTAGAAAACCAGTTAGACAAAAAGATTAAAAGGCTTCGATCCGATAGAGGGGGAGAGTATGAATCCAATTCTCTTAAATCTCTGTGTGAAATTTCTGGAATTATTCATGAAGTAACAGCGCCGTATACCCCCCAAAAAAATGGCATTGCTGAGAGAAAAAATCGAACTTTTAAAGAAATGATTAATGCAATGCTGATCAGTTCGGGTGCTCCGACCTCTTTGTGGGGGGAAGCTGCTTTAACAGCAAACCACATTTTAAATAGAGTACTTCACAAAGGGTTTGAGAAACCCCCTATGAACTGTGGAAGGGACATGCCCCTAACCTCAACTACTTTAAGGTGTGGGGCTGCCTGGCAAAAGTGGGACTACCGTCCTTTAAAAGGCCCAACTTGGGACCTAAAACTTTTGATGCCATCTTTGTTGGGTATGCTCAGAATAGTGCTGCATATAGATTTATGTTCTTGGAAAAATGCACAATGTGTGAAGCTAGAGATGCTAATTTCTTTGAATCTATATTTCCAATGAAAAATGCTTATGCCTTACCTGATAATATCTGTGATCCAAATTCTTCTGAGATATTTCCTAGTCTCACGAGCAATTCTGAAGAGCCTAGAAGAAGTAAAAGGCCCAGAATTGAGAAATCCTTTGGCTCTGACTTCATAACATATATGACAGAATTAAAAGACGTGAATGAACTTTGTGATTATTTTATATGTCAACTAGTCCTAGAGGAAGAACCAAAGACCTTTCAAGAAGCCATGCGATCGGTAGATTCCACGCTTTGGAGAGAAGCTGTTAAAAGTGAATTAGACTCTATACAGTCCAACCACACATGGGAATTAGTTAATCTACAAAAAGGCTGTAAACCGATCGGTTGTAAATGGATTTTCAAAAGAAAATTGAGACCAGATGGTTCAATTTAAAGGTTCAAGGCCAGACTAGTGGCCAAAGGCTACACTCAAAAATTCGATGAAGACTATTTTTTCACTTACTCACCAGTAACAAAAATAGCAACTATTTGTGTTTTGTTTGCATTAGCATCTCTACACAGGTTAATAGTTCACCAAATGGATGTGAAAACTGCATTTCTCAATGGTGAACTAGAAGAAGAAATCTACATGGAACAACCCCTGGATGCGTTGATCCAGGACAAGAAGGGAAAGTAAGCAGACTCAAAAGATCTCTATATGGCTTGAAACAAGCTCCTAAGCAGTGGTATGAGAAATTTCATAAAACTTTATTAGACTTGGGTTATTCTACTAACCGGTCAGATGCCTGCTTATATACTAAAGAGATAAAGTCTAGCATAGTGATTATTTGTCTCTATGTAGATGACATGTTAATTTTTAGCTCAAATATGGAGGCTATAAATGAGATTAAAAGAACTGTAGGTGAAAACTTTGACATGAAAGATCTAGGGGAAGCTGATGTAATACTTGGAATAAAAGTTACAAAATCCGAGAGAGGTTATCTTTTATCTCAAAGTCATTACACAGAGAAACTTCTAAAGAAGTTTGCGAGTTATGATGTAACTCCAGCCAAAACCCCTTTCGATCCTAGTGTAAAACTGTCAAAGAACATAGAGTCGAGTGTGTCATAAGATGAGTATGGAAAGATAATCGGGAGCATAATGTTTCTTATGAACTACACTAGACCCGACATTGCATATGCAGTGAACAAGCTCAGTCGCTACACACATAACCCTAGTGCTCCACATTGGGATGCACTAAAAAGAGTGCTTCGTTACCTTAGAGGTACGCTAGATTGGGGCCTTGATTATAAAGGACCCCCAGCCGTGCTAGAAGGGTATTGTGATGCGAATTGGGTGAACGATTGCGATGATGCAAGCTCAACTAGTGGATATGTTTTCACTATGTGTGGAGCTGCAATATCATGGAAATCCACCAAACAATCGTGTATTGCCAGATCAACGATGGAAGCTGAGTTTATAGCCCTAGATCTGGCAAGCCAAGAAGCCGAGTGGCTGAGAAACCTACTGGCAGACGTGCCATTGTGGGGTTGTCCAGCACCAGCTGTTCCTATATATTGTGATTCACAAACTTCCATCTGTGTTGCACAAAACACTGTTTATAATGGAAAGAGAAGACACATCAGAGTCAGAAATGAGTTGGTACGGTAGTTAATACTAAATGGGGTGATCACAATGAGGTTTGTGAGATCTGAAAAGAATATTGCAGATCCTTTCACAAAAAGGCCTAAATCGAAAGGTCGTCCTTGATACATCAAGGGAGATGGGTTTGAGATCCAGTGAGGTAAGAAATTCGTGATGGAAACCACTGGGGTGGTCAAAGCCGTCACGGAAAGACTTACATTAAAAGGCTGTGAAACACAACGCCTAATCTGTAACCCAATATGGGTGGTCTATGTTGAGATAGATTTGACAAAATAAAAAGTCTATGCTGAGATAGACTGAACAGGGATTATACAGAGTTAATGAGTGCTTTTAAGTTCAAAACTCGATTAACCGATGAGTTCATGATCCAATTCACTCTAGGGAAACAGTTACTTAAATGCCACTACATGTCAGTTCAAGTATCATACACTGATATGGAAATTAGCTCTGGTGCAGACTCAGGCATTATCGGGTATGGTCTAGCCTCCTCAAATGTGTGGGGGATTTTTGGGTACATTTAATGAGGCACCCCTATTTTTGTGCTACTTTGACTTCATTGTCCGAAATGTAATTTCAGCTACATGGAATGTGTGGACAGCCTTTGTCATCTCCATCTTTGTCGCGCCTTTTGCATGGACAATAAGGGGTGGACGTGGGAGGCTTTAGCTATATAAAGCCTTGCCACTTCCACTCCATAAAGACACCTTTTTTTGCCTGAGTTCATATTGAACAAATTTTGTTCTACGAGTTTGTGAGTCCTGTCGAAAACATGCGATACCCTGGTCGCAAATGTTTTTAAGGGAGTGTTTTATAAACACGACACAGATAAAATTCTACTTCTATTATACAGTCTCCCACGCCTAAATTCTCCAGCCATCCGTTCGACATTGCTGACATCGGTTTTGGCCAAACCCGGAATCTAAATAATCAAATTCCTTAGCCAATCAACTTCTTGCATGTCAAAGCCAACGTAAGAAATTCAGATGCCGTAGTTGAAAAGATAACTTTGCTTTTAGAAACCCATAACACAACACTTCCTCCAAGTAGAAATATCCATTTACTAATTGAGGAACAAGTTTCATGATTAGACATTCAACTGGCATTAGAATATCTTTCCAGAATGGAAATTTCTATTAAATATACTAAACCATAATAAATGGTTTTATTCAAGGATATCAAAATTTCTTTTAATCTCATCCACTTAGCCAAATGAACATGATGATTGATAGAATTTTAATATTTTATTAATGAACTGGTGAAATAAAATATTCAATTGATTATACCGGAATCCCCTTTATAGGTTCCTAGTCAATAAATATTTATTTCTTGCAAATTCTATAACCAAGAATTTCAATCAAGTTGAACTTATTAGCAGTGAGGACTCCTTAAAATAAAAATTCAACCTCCTCCATTTGAGTCATCATCAACTTTGGAGAATAAACCTCCTCCATTCAGAGAACATCAACTTCGGAGAATAAACCATTTTGATTTTAAGCTTTTAACTTTTCATGTTTCATCTAAACTGAAGAATCATGACATCTTAATTCATAATCCATGATTTAAAGTTAAACTTTCTTTTCACTACTAATTGCCAGTCATACTAGATAAACTAGTAAACTTGTTGGCTTTCAAAATTTTAACACATTCTCAATATGAGAAACTGTGTGTTAAATACATTCATAAATTTTTATGAATTTCATTATGCATACTTCATGCATAAAAGTTTCTGTATGCCTTTATAAGAAATATAACTAAATATTTCCTGGGCTTTCTGCCTTTATCAGAAATATAACAAATATTTCAAAGGCTTCCCGCCTTAATCAGAAATATATATAACATAATATTTCACACTTTC